TTGTTTAGTCACATTACTGTGTAATTAGACAGAAAATGTTTAAGGACTCGATTCGGGAAAAACAAAATCACAGTCGGAGTTTTTTGTCACTAGAACAGTAGGTATCCTTGTAGGAAGTAGATTAATCTCCATCAATTCCAAGGGTTAGTTTGTAGCTCAAGATTATATAAAGCATGATATTCTGTTCAGGTTGACTTTTGTTGTTGATGTAAATTAGAAAATGAAGTGTAACTTAGAGCAGGGAACAGACATCATTATGAGGCCTATTTTCAAAAGCTTGTCTTTACAGAGGTCCAAAGGTAATCTGTATACGTTTTTTAATCCAGCTGTCATTAAGATCTTAATGTGTGAAATAAATGCTTCTTCTTTCCTTCAATCTAGCTAATGCCGTGAAAATAAGATAGCACAGACCTAGGAGGAGGTGATGTCAAAAAGGCAGCTTTCTAAAATAGTTCATTTGCTAGTCTTGTGTTTGATTCAGTAATATACTCTGTTTTCTAAGACACTTGCATGTATGCGGTGTCTCGTAGGGCTATGTGCATTTATCTCAAAGTGTTAATTGCTTCCAGGTAAATGGACAGTGTGCTGGACACACAGCTATGCAAGCAGCTAGTCAGAATGGCCATGTTGACATTTTGAAGTTGCTTCTGAAACAGAATGTGGATGTAGAAGCAGAGGTAAATGAAATATTTCAAATATTCTTTTTGTACCCTTACATTTTAAACTTACCTACGCACATGAATAGCATATCTATTGGAGTTGCTTTCCTGCAATAATTTATAAATTCTTCTGGTTTTATTTTAGTTTGCACTACATGCAACTATATTTCTAAGCTTTCTAACATGTTTCTTTCTGATGACAGGTTAACTATTTTTTGCTTTTTTGATTGATTGATAGATAGCTATTAAAAAAACAAGCAGAGTAACAAAGGGTGTAGAAAAATTTTACTTTTTTTAACGGTATGTAACCAGGTTGCAGAGAAATGAATAGACTGTCTTTTCATACTGATTGCTTTTCTTGGACACAGTGTAGCAAAGTGTTGTGTGTTTAGTATAAGATGTGCTGCTTTGTGTTTAAAAGCTAGTTATGCTGTGTTGATATCACTGATGAAATGATAAATTCCTTGGTACTGAAATAATTTTCATATTCACTGGTACATCTTTGCTTTGTAGAAGTTTTCTACTTAAATGGCGAAAATGACAAATTTGATGCAGTAATTTGTTGCTGTGGACTAAAATCTGTGAAACACCTTCATTGTAGAAGCTGTACTTTCACTGCAGTACACGCCCTGCATTGTTGTTAACTAGTCTGAGCTGCTTTTCATCTGTACTGTGGGATCCAAGCTGCAGCATTAATCAAATTGTGAACTGATACTTCAGTGGTGTAAGGAAGGATTAGATGCATTGCAGAGGGAGGTCAAAGTGTTATCTATACAGCTTTGAGATAAGGCATCTTGTAATCATCTGGTGGGGTTGTTAGTGTTCCCATTATCTCAATCAGAAGAAGGTTCTGTTGGTGTTGCCTCCTCTGTGCTTACCTCAGCTTAATTCTGAGTTCAAGTGGCTTCTATTTTGTCAGAAAAAAATTGTTACTGACAGCTTAAGAAGCTGTCTATTATTATTAAATAGTATTATTTATACTATAGTATATACCTAGAATATGAGAATGAAGTAATGAAACTGAGACAAACTGAATTGAATCAGAATTTTAATGCTGTGAAGCTTCATCATAGAACCAGAACTTGCATTTAATTTTAGCTTCAATCCCAAATTTGCTTTGGAAAACAATTTATAAACTCAAAGTTAAGATATGATAAGCCCTAATATATATGTAACTTAATCCTATGAACAATTCTCTGGTCTTCTTCCATGATTTGGAATTTGGCAGTTCCTGGATTACAGAATAGGTTATCCTTAGTTACAGGGTGGGTGATGTATTGTGTTTTTGTTTGTTTTTGTTGATGGTGATATAGCATTGAATATCATATATTGTAGAATGCATATTTCTGTACACAGATTCTTCATTCTCTATTATTCCTTTATGGTTTGATCAATTCTTTTATTAGTTTAAATAATCTCAGTTCCATTCAAATATCCCTTTCTTCAAAGGAATTTTCATGGTTCTGTTTAATTTCTTCTTGAAGTGTGAAATGTATGGAGTTAAACTATTGTTTCTACCTCAGGATAAAGATGGAGACAGGGCTGTCCATCACGCGGCCTTTGGTGACGAGGGTGCTGTGATTGAGGTTTTGCACCGAGGCAGCGCAGATCTGAACGCTCGCAACAAACGGAGGCAGACTCCGCTTCATATTGCTGTCAACAAAGGTCATCTTCAAGTTGTGAAGACTTTACTGGACTTTGGCTGCCATCCTAGTCTCCAGGTAATGCAGACGTTAAATACCTAAAACGTGAATCTATTCTACCTCTAGCATTTCAAGCGTGTGGATGCTGTGTATAGATAATTGAATAATCACGGAAAATAGGATGGAAAGGACCAGACCCTGTGAAGTTCTCTCTCCCATCTTCTACCCTAATGTGACCAGCTGTAATAGAAATGCTGTTATTGATTGGTTTTCTAAAAAGCTTGATAAAGGCACCTGATTTATTCAGGCCAGTTCATGTTAGTTGATATTTTCACAGACTGTAGTTATCTGTGATTGTTAATTTTTTCTCCAAATTCTTTCTCTATCTAATCTGCAGCTGTTTGCAGCTTTGAATTTTTCTTTGGATGTTGATACTGTGGAATGTTTCATTGAAAGAAACCTTTTTTCCCCTAGAATTGACCTATCGTCAATACAACTGTTTAGCCAAATTCTCTTTTAAAGCTCAGACTTTTATCTAAAAGGTCATGATATATGGGGCCTCAAGTTCCATAATTACACAGGCAATTTTATCTGTAATGAATGTGGTGGAAGCTGTGACATATGAGTGGAACCTCCTGTTGAGAAGGTAGAGGAGAAACCTGCTGTCAAACAAGCAAGCATCCATATTCTTCGTGAGCTTAATGCAATCTCATGCAGTGCATTAGTAAAACAAGTCAGAAGAGGTTTTCAGTAGAAATAAAAAGCTGTAATGTCCTGATAAAATCAAGACATGTTAGTAATACATCTACCATCTTGCTTTGCCATCATGTCAAAAAGCAGTAAAATTTTCAAAACTGTATATTCATGTAACAAAAGTAAAGCAAACTTAAAATTAATTAATATATTGATTGTCTGTCTGCTTTTACCTGGCTTTGTGTGTATACTCTTGAGCTTGCTGAGGCTGAGCTGTCAGCCAGCTAGTGTTCATCCATACCCTCCTTAGTATTTGCTGAACTTGGGATAAATAAAGAATCTTTTGTCTTGAGTTTAGTCAGGGGTGATAATGTGCATCATACAACGATCTGTGGGTAGGCAAAGTGAATATCTCTGATTTGAAATATCAGAAATTCGTTTGGTTTGAAAAATTCAGTAGAATGGTGCTGTGGATCTCTACCTGGAAAATAAAACTGTCATTGAACATAATGAACTTTCAGATCCTGCAGGGCTGAATGCTAATGGGCAAATGTGAGTAGGCAACTGACTTGGTGGATAAGAGCACAGAGTAGTGAGATTGAATCACGACTGGAATTTAAGTGCCCATCACTCTTCTGCTGAAGCCCATTCTTGGTGTAAACAGAAGCATGTTAATTTGTAAGCAGTAAATCCAGCAAATGCCATCAGTTAGACTAGATAAAAGCTGCACAGTTAAATTCTAGCAAACTGGTTCAAGTTTTTCCTTTATTTGACACTTTGTCAATTTGTGATTCTCATGGTAAAGATTCAAAAGATTTGTTTTCATATTGGACTGTATTGCTAAAATGTTCAGATCCTGTGTTTATCAGTTAGTAGTTGAGTCAGTGACAAAAGTCTTCCTGACTTATATGGTGTTAAAATTTTACTGGAAGCATAAATCTGGAGAGTTTGCTTAGATAGCAGCAAATAAGCATAAATGGATGTGTTTTCTCACTGTTAATCATAGGACATTCCTTTTTAGCCCAACTGTTTGGGTCCTCGAATAAGTAATGTACAAACTACTTTTAGGAATAAGTAGTATTTCCCCTTATTTGGGATATTTGAAGAATAAAATGACAAGCTAAAAATATAAATGAATTGTCTTCAATTTAATTATGCAATGAAATCAGAGAAATATTTTCATTTTCCTTGTGTAATGTAATCCAGTATGAGCTATAAGAAGTTTAAAAGCTTAATATTGTTTGTGACGTTGGCCTTTGCTTCATGGAAAATGATGTGCTTCAGTTAAAATGACAGATGTGCCTAAATCACTTGGCCTGCATTTTATTTGTTCCTTCTCTTTAAGCTTTTATTTCCCATCATCTTTTTGGCATTATCTTTTATGTGGTTAATTACTAACCACGTAAATTACTAATTTGCCATCAGCACTCAGAATTCCCTTCCTTCTCCCTGCCTGGCTAATCTCTGTTGTGGTGTTCTTGTTGCTGACCTTCTGTTACTCAGAAATGTTAATTTGGGCATCTCATTAATCCACATGTGAGATACAGAAGCTGATATCTACACCAGTGTCTCCAGTGTTGTCACATGCAACAGTGCTTAAACTCTGGTTTGGAGTTCTGGTAGCTGGGTAATCATAGAAAACTGGGAGCCCAGGGAGGGATTACCTACTCGAGTGTTTTCAAAACCAGAACAAGAGCAGAAGCACCATGCTCTGAACTCTACAGTATAGCCACACTTCTAGAAACGAAGACCTGTTTTGTGTGGTCAGTTTTTCCTAGTGATATTTACATGTTACTTCTTAATGTGGATGCATACAGAAACTGATGCAAGCTGTTTCTGGTTTCAGGATTCTGAAGGTGACACTCCACTCCATGATGCAATAAGTAAAAAGCGTGATGACATCCTGGCTGTACTGTTAGAAGCTGGTGCAGATGTTACTATCACCAACAACAATGGCTTTAATGCTCTTCACCATGCTGCACTAAGAGGAAACCCAAGGTAAAGATTTGTTTTTAAAAAATATTTTCTCATTTGTGAAAGACAAGTGCATAGAAATGTGGAATCGTGGTATTCTTTTAAAAGGTCCTTAAAAGGAGCCTGCATATAGTTGTTTCTTAAATTTTGATATTGCTTAGATAGGAATTATTTCTAGTAGTAGAGTAGGCCACAAGTAGAATGAAATCACTAATCTGCTGCATTCAGTGCTGTGTTGAGGCAACTCTGGATCTCTGTAGAAGTCTGTAGAAGTTTGCAAACAGGCTTTTACCAGTGAGAAGTTAAGTAGGATCTTAAAGCATTTGTAAAAATGCTTCTGTTCTTCTTGAACGTTGGAACTGGGGAAGGGATTTGAGGTTTTAAAAAAAATAGAGTAATTTCTAAAGATACTGTGTGGTTATAAAGTGATAGGATTGGTGGGTTCAATCCCCTTTGTTAAAAGAAACATGATTTTGTTTCCTCAAAAGCATGTGTAGAAGGAATTTCTTCTTTGTGTAATAGGTTATTCTGAAGAAGTTAAATTTAAGGCATAATTTGTTTTGTGCCAATTGCATACTATGCATCTGTGTTGAATCCTCAGTTAAGATAGTTTGCAGAAAAAATGATTGTAGAACTTTGTGGGAGAACTTGCTGGTTGCTTATTATGTTATGGATAATGTGATTTTCTTGAAGGCTGTTATAATAACAGGACTTGGGTGATATTGCATAGCGGAGAATTGTCTTTGCATGAAGAAAGAAATGTGTATGCTTGTTTACTGCTAAATTTTTCTGCTTTTCAGTTGAATGAAGCTAGATGAATAAGGATGTTATTTATAAGGATGTTATATATATTATGTGTGCGAATAACGTGGGTGAGTGTCTTAGCATACAGCTATCGAGGCTGATGGTCAAAAAGTAAATATGAGTGTTTACGTATGTAAAATGAATGGAATCACATAGTTGAAAGTTGTGGTTGGGAGTGTTGATAGGAACAATAACTGTATTTACAGCTTTCCACAGTGCCTGAAATAGGTCTGTAAGAGAACGTTTTGAGGATGTTGTGCAGGGAGTGTATTTTTGGCATTCAAAGACAGTTGTTTCACAAAGGGGTAACTTACTCATTTAACATGAACTCTCCATGTTTACATTAACAGCATTAACCAGGAATACTGTGTGTGGTCTCCAGTTACCTGGGTTGGATTCTTTTTAACTTCTGTGTTACTTTCCTTAGGCTCTTGTCACAGTTGGTTTGCATGAAAAACTATCTCAATATGAAATGCAAGGAAAATGTATGGAAAAAGAGCTCTTCCTAGGGGTACTGAAGATTTTTCTGTGGGTGAATATGAACAAGATTTTTCTTTGACAGAGAGATCAAAATTGGAATTTAGACTAGTTTGGTTTGACAGGTGGTAGAATGTGAGGCATCATACAGTTTTTTTTTCCCTGAATCTTTTCTTACTTATGAAAGTTTTTACTTCAAGAATAAAAAGTATTTCCAGTATTAGTGATTTGAACCTTGTGTAGGTTTCCCTGTATGTGTGTTTTGACTAGTATCTAAAAAGGCTTGCTATATAAAGCAGTTAGGTATCTACTTTCTGGTTGCAGCTGTGCTTGAGTACCTCTGAAGCAGGTAGACAGAGAGAATCTTTTTTTTCCTACTATGGAAGTTGGTAGGTTTGTTTTTCTTCACAGAATTAGGCATTTTACACATCGACCTGGGAAGAATTAATGGAAATAAAAAGATCTCAGAAAGATTTATTTTGTGCCACTCCTTCCCCACATCCTCCTCCAGCCCCAATTATAATTATTTGATTCATTTGAGAGTTGAGTTCTGCTTTCATTTAGTCTTAAATGATTGTCATTTATTTCATTATGTTGATCTGTAGTTCTGCCACTGGCCTCTCTCCAGATGAAAGCAGATTTTTTTATATTAGTAACCAGTTCTTTCTAATCTGATATAGAACAATAGATACTACTAATCTGTTAAATGCACTGAGTACAAAATATTTAAAGTGCTGTTAAAAATAATACTCTGAATTTTACCTTTTAGCTGTTAAGGATCACAATACATTCTGCTTGAAGCCTTACTTAAGCACTTACTTGTATTTCCTATCTAAGCTTTCTAAGCTGGAGTTTGCGTGGCCTGAGGCTATGGTGCCATATATGGAATAGACTGCACTAGACTCCCCTTAAGGTCAAATATATAAATATATAAATAATTATTATATGAATGTTTTGTTTTCATTTAAAGTACCGTGAACCTTTAAGCTCGGCAGACTTTGTCTCCTCAGCATTAATGAGATTTTTCAGAATAAAATTTGCTTATACTGTACAGATCAGTTCTGTTTACCACATTTTTCAACTTGTGGTTATGTTTGATCTATTCACGTACCTGTGACTTTGAGTTTTTCATCTGAAGATGAGACCGTGTGGGTGTATGATATATCCATTGCCCCAGTTAGATGGAGATTTGCATTGTATCTTGTGAAGAGAGCTATTCACACTGCAGTCAGCATCCTAAATGGAGGCTGCTTTTGGAGCTGACTTCTCTTGGCACACGTGCTACTAGTTCCTCAGACCATTCTTTGGTAACTGAGGAACTATTCTTTAGGTTAAAAAAATATTGGAATACGATGCAGCTTTTACACGGCTCTTTGATAGCAAGCGGTTTGTCATGTCTGTATTATAAACTAGCAAATAGAAAATAGTATTTCAAAATGGAATTGCAATTTCCCCCCTTAGTTGTTATATTATTTTTCATAGATCTGTCCTTTTAGAATGTGCAGATGGTTTGAACTGGTTGGTAATGGAGTTTAACTGACGTGTTCTGTGAGAGTTAGGATTTCAGCTGTTCTTAGTATCTCAGGAATTTGTGGTGTTTGGTCATGCAAGTCCTCAAAGAGACAAGGTCTGGAATAATCAAAGAGTTGTAAAACTAGTTTCTGAAATTGGAAGCAAAGATTGCTTTTACTTATTTGCTCTTCAGACAAGCTGAATGCTTCAAAATAAAAAAAAATTAAAAGCATGCTCTTCAAACTGTTTACTATTACGTATTAAGTCAGAAAATGCTTTGAAAGAAGACTTTTGTTCAGATTGGTGTTAAGGGGGAATATAATCTCCATGGGCAGACCTATAATTAGATAGCCTGTAGCTGCTGAGGTCAGTGACAACTTTATCTTTAAATAGTAAATAATATGCCCAGATAGCATACAAGACAGCCAATACAGTTTCTACCCGGGGTGTTGCTTCCCTTGTGCAATTTGCTGTATTTTTTTTTTTTTTAAAGGATAGAAGGGGGCAAAGGAAAGTGAGGGATAACAGAGGTGTCCAGAAAGTAGATGTGCTACTGCAAATACTGTTCATTCTGTATCTTCTGGGGGGATCAGTTCTGTTAAAAGTGTAGCAGACTTGAGGAAAAATACAGGAGACAATCAGTCATTGGAAAATGTGTTTATTTTGCTGTTTGCCTATCTTCAAAAATGTTTTAAGGTCAGTTTGCAATGAATATATATGAATATATACAACCATAAGCTGTTTATTTACAGGTACAACCTTGAGATTTTTGAACTATGGAATTCACTGTACTTCTTGTTACCTTCTATCTTCTAAGTGCCTGGAAAAAATCAGCCCTCTCTGCAAAATTATTCTGGCTTACTGTCTGGCTTTAAATATATAAAAAATCCTGTAGTGATCAATGCATAGCTACAGCTGGTTGAAGGGGACCAAATCCATTGAAGAGGTGATTTGGTTCCATTTTACCAGCTTTAGCAAAGCATTGGAGTGCAGGAAGGTTATAATTTAATAACATATTTTTAAGACCCTTTAGCATATGTGGACTGTTCACAAAGAATGTGTGGCTTCCTCCTAAGATGTGTTTTGTTTCTAGTCACTGCAAATTTAAATTCTTTAATTTTGAAGTGGCAAAATGGAAAGATATGTGCCAGTGAGGCCTCATACATACAGAGTTGTATTTTCCTTGCCTAATTCTTTGAGTCTCAGCTCAAATTCTAGTTGCAGTATAAACTGTTCTTGATCTCAAATAATGAAATTCTAGGGTAGTGACCAAAAACAGCGTGCTTTCAGGTTGTACTCACGTAGAGTTCCTTTGCCTCTCAATGTTGAGCATTACTGGAGAGAAGGTTTCATTGTGCCACCTCCCTACCCCCTTGGTTTTCTGGCAGGTTACCCTTTGCAGCTGCTTTAGTGCTGTACTTGCTTAGCACAAGTGTAAATGTCAAGTGCTTTCAATTCCATCACTATATCTCTGGTTAGTATTAACTTTTTAGGAATGATTACATAATATAGCAAGACAGATTTTTTTTTTCTTACTTGATTGTATATGTAAGTGTTATATATCAGGTAAAATGCAGTTTAAAAAAAAAATGAAAGATCTGGGATTTAATTTTTTAATTCTCCTAAACCACGCCTCCTTTAACATGTGCATATGCTAACATAGCTTTTTATATGCTGTGTGCTGAATTCAGTGGTGTTTTTCTTTTTTTTTTTTTTTTTGAAGTGAGCTTTGACTGCAGTGGGAAATAGTAGACAAAAATTAGTTGGAGCCATTCACTAATAATGACTGCATCAAGTATAGTCTGCATCTGTTTGCTGCATGGTCTGATACTGGTGAGAAGATTTATGTAAATATATTCCCAACACCATGCATGCTAATAGAAACATAGCAGGTGTGTCACTTGGACTTCAGCATTAAAGATGGTTATAAAATTAGTTTCTATTTTTACCAGTTATACAGGAACTGTTTTACAGATACAGCTGCTCAAGTGCGCTTTTGGATGGTAATACAGTTGCATGTACTGGCCATATCGGGACAAAAAACGGCCATGGAAAAAAAGCCGTGTAGCATTTGATAATGTCAGCATCTGTTATCCCTGTCAGTCACACAGTTGAAATGTTTGAGTTACAACTGTGTCAGCAGATGCCCAAAGTTCAACGTGTGCTCAGTTAAAAACCGAACAGCTGATCTAAGTGATGGATGTGACATTTCAGAGTGACTGGATATGTATTCTTAGAGCTATGCTAACATGAACTAGCAGGAAGCAGTGTCAACATGTAATTTTAACTTCTGTGTCACTCAGAACTGTCATTTTGTTTCGGAACAGCGCTGAAATGTTACACAAAGCAGAGGAGAAAGAAGGTGGTATGATGATTTGTTACCAAAAACCTCTGTAAATACATTTGAGATGTTAAAAAGTTTGAGTACACAGTGGAGACCAAATCAATTAGCACAGAGGACAGGAACTCTTCAATAGAACAACTGGATGCTTAGCAATTAACCTCTCTGTAAAGCTGGTGGTAATACCAGATTACTTCTGTGAGCGTGATCAAGTTCAGTAGCATCACTCTGAGATTAGCCACTATGGTTTGATTGTTTCCCACTATAAAGTAGATTTGAATTTGGATTTAGAGATGCCATTGTCTTTGTGTCATAATATCTGCTTATAAGAGAAATGGCTTTTTAAAAAATGTTAAGCATTTTACTTTAGCAAATGATTCTGATAAGGGAACCATTCTTCCTTCTTTCTTCTGTGGTTCTTTCTTCTGTGTGTTACTCTTTAGTTTCAAGCAATAAAAATAGCAGGCTATGTATAATAGCTATTTGAGTATTATTTGAGTATTTTAAAAATAAGGTTCTCAATCTAAAATTGGTATGTTGCTTTTTGTTGCTGTTGTTGTTTTTTTTTTCCCCAGACATTTTAGTAAGCACATAGATAGACTTAGAATTTTTAAACTGGGACAAATGTGCCTGCTTCTCATGAATGTATCAGCTAACTGCTCTTAGAAGGCTGCTTTATGAATAGAATTGCTGTACCGGTGAGCTGAGAGTATTCCTCTGATTTTTTTTTTCCCTATTCCTGAATTTAGTGTTGAGCTTCTTAACTTAGGGACGGTATGCATTCACACATTTTAATTAATCCTGCTTTTAGAACTTAAACTGTTGTGGGATGTTTTTCCAGAGCAGGTCTCAAAATTTTCAAGGTGTTATAAAATGTTTGCATGGCCAATTTTCTTAAATCCAGATTTAAAGTAAATGTGGTTAATTTGAAAATGATATGTAAGGTAACTTAGATAAGTGTTATTTGCCATTTGTGTTTCCCTTTAGAAATCTGTCAATAGCTTTAATCTGCTGACTAGCAACTGGGGCCTAGAAATCTCTGTATTGTCACTTTCTGTGCGTAAACCAGACACAGCAGTTTGTACTGAAGAGCTCAGTGAGCATAGTAAATGCTGATTTGGAGAAAATTCTAACTTAAATGCTATATGCTAAACGGCAGATGTCATTGTACTTAATGTACTTCTGTAAATCCTTTTCTCTAAATCACAGCCTTAATTTCTCATCTGTTCCTGCTTATGTCCTGGTTGCAGTCTGTAAGTTGTTAAATAATCTGTGATAGATGCAAATTTAAAAGGTGTCATTGTGAGCGTACAGGACTTGCTGAGATTAGTAAAACAATGGCTTGGTTAAATGAGATGTGTTTTGGTAATTGGGCTTTTAAAGTTTGTTTAGGTTCTATTGTATGAGGTGTACTGTAATCATAACTTTTGCTGATCTGAATTAGCATGTTGAGCTGTTAGTTCCCAGCCTCGTTGTGGGTTTTGTGTTTACAGCTGATGTTAAGTTTGTAATCCAAGAAAAACTTTCTCAACCCACGTATATAGTCCCTTAACTTAATGCTTTGTGAGTTGTTACTAGTAAGTATGTGTTATTTAGGCAGTACCAGCTGACCCTTAGCCAGTTAACTTGTCACTTGAATGTCACTCAAATGTGGGGAAGCACGCTCTTCCCAACAGCTGTTAGTTTCCTCTTACTGGTCGTTCTGTGCCTGCCAAAAATACATACTTCTTTACATTCCATAGCATTGTATGTTCATATGGGTACATAAAGAAGTATGTGCTCTGAGCAGGTACTTGTAGAGTTGCTCAAATGAACCTGAAAAGGACTTTGCTGCTTACTGGTTCTTTCATTAAGTAAAATTCAGGGCTGAGATTTCTTCGGGAGAACAATGTTACAATTAACTGATGATAGAAACCCATCTACTCAATCTAACTGAATTCAATGATGCAATTTACCTGTGCAGTGGCTTAAAGCCAGTTATAGCTCACTGCTCTGATGGCACTGACAAGAGAAGTGCTTATTCAGGCTTCTGCAGCTGCTTGCTGTTCTGAGCAACCAGGGTTGAACGGAGACTTGAATCACTGGTAATTTTGCAGGATGTGTTCTTGGGATTCGGAGTTGTATTCCACTGCGAAAGTGCCAGCTTTCTCTGAGGTCTTCAGGACTACTTCCACGTGTGTTTCTTCATGTAGGATCCTGGAGGGAACCACAAGCTCATCCAATACAGCAGTTAGAAACTTCCTTACCCTCCCCAGCCCCACCTTCCTGCTTCATACACCCAGTGTTCTGCAAACTCATTGCAGGTTTCTGCTGTAGCTGAGAGTAGTCTTAAAAAGTGGATGTGCGTGTGCCACAGTGGTCCTGCTTATTGCAGGCATAATGGCATGGAGTTCAGCAAACAACCTCTAACTGCTGTGACAGGGTTTGGATTGTCAGGCCCAAGGTCACATGTGGCAGCTAATTCCTATTCAACACTTCTACAGAACAGGGTTGCTTTCCTTTTTTTTTTTTCCTAAATTGGCACTCACCTGCTTCAGTCAAAATGCTGTTCAAGCTTTAAATGTTATGAAATTTTAAAAAGCCAAACAACCCCAGCCAAACTGTTTCTGCAGACTCCACTCGGTCTGGAAGTTAAACATTAGGTGTGTTGGAGGGGTTTGGCTCCACAGAGTTGTCAGACACCACTTGGGGCTGCTTAAATTTGGTTCAGAGGTTCACTGGGGTTACAGTGAGGAGTAAGCTTTCTTTCTCCAGCGTTAGAAGGTAAATGGTGTGACAGTTAGTATATGTACTAGTGGTAAGGCAAGCCGAGAGCAGAGGTAGTATGGATTTCTGCAGTTCATGGCAGAGCCCTAGTGCAGCTGGCAGAGAGCAAATCGGCGTGTGGCAGAAGCCAGCACAGCACTGAGAGCAGCAATGCAGCAGCATCCTAGTGCTGTAAGTAGGTTGATCCCTCGTGCAGCCAAGCTACAGCACCTCTGTGCTCTGCGTAGCTTCAGAGCTCTGCCCAGCCATGCTGGTGGCTTTTTGTGTGGCTGGTAGTCCTTTAGTTGTGGTTTGCATAGGAAAACAGGAATGTATCAGTGAAACTAATGCTGTTTGCTGAGCAGTTAATGGCATTGCGGTATCTGAGTTGATCTTCACTAGCAAGAATTCTGCCAGACAAGTTGGGCTTTCTTGCTAGGAATTTTGGATTCGTGTTGGCCTGTTCTTTACACCACCAATGCATGATACTCCACCACACTCAAACCAAGCTGCTCATAGAGCAGAGGGATTAATCACAACTTTAAAAAAAAAAAAAAAAAAAAAGGAAAAAAAAACAAAACACCAACAACCAAAAAAACCCCATCTAGTAAATAAGTCACACATGCAGAAAGTCATAGGCATCCTTAAACGTGCAGAACACGGCAGGCGGTGTGGCGGTGCGTTACCTGAGCTCAGGGTCATGCAGGCTGGCAGCGGTGCAGCCAGGGCCCGGCAGCTGCCATCTCACCCGCCAGCTCGCCGGGCCGGGCCTGCAGGGTGCGGAGAGGTGCGGGGCCGGTGGCACCTGCTGCCTGCGGTGGGGTGGTGGTGGTGGTGGTGGTGGAGAGGTGGTACCTCACGGCTGCTGGGCTGGGAGCTAAGAGTCCAAGGATGGGTGCTGGCAAGCCATGAGAAGGTGGGCTATGATGAGAGTAATCACAGGCAAAAAGGAGGGGGGGAAGGGGGGGAAAAAAAAAGCCCAAAAAGAAAATCAGCCCCCTCCCCCAAAAAAAGTTGGGAGTCTCTTCAGAAAAATTAAAAATAAATAAATAAATGAAGGCAGCGATCGTCTCCCCCCCTCCCGCAGTGGTGGTTCCTTCTGGCTCCCGCGGCCGAGCCCCGCATCCTCCCGTGCCCGAGCTGCGCTCCCGGGGCGCGCCGCCGCAGCTCCGCGCTGCCGGAGCCCTCCTTCCTTCCTTCCTTCTTCCTTCCGTCCGCAGAGGTCAGCACCCCGCCGCCCGCACTGCCGCTCGCGGGCCGCAGCCCCGCCGCCGGGCTTTATAGGCGGCTAAGCATTTGAAACACGCACAGCCGGGCCGCCCGGCTCCCCCGCGCCTCGCTCTTCCCTGACCATATTTAGTCAACCCTCGCAAAAAATAGCCTCCCAGCTGCCGATTGTCGATCCGGGCGCTCTCCCGCGCTCCGCCTATCGATTGAGCGGCCTGCGGGTCCGCTGCGCCCAGGGAGTTCCGCGCCTGGGGAGATCCGCGTTTCCAGCCCCGCCCGAGGGCGGCCGGTCCCGAGTGTGGCGGCCGGAGGGGACCGGCCCGGGGGGTGGGGGCCGGGAGGAGGCACGGAGGGCAGCGAATTCCTGTGATTCGGTGCTGAGGGTGTTCGGTAGTCCTGTGGTGTTCCGTGCTAAACTAGGAAACGGGTTTTGAAAAATAAATGGAAGTGTGAGGTGGGTGCTGCTGTTCTGTGGAGAGAGATCTAAGGGAAAGGAAGAAAAGGTAGCAACCCAACCCTGAACAGCGCACTCCGTCAGTCTGATCTTTGTGTGTACAGAACTGGCCTCTAACTGTACCAGTGCAACACATGCAGAATAGAAAAGTGTATTCATCTCTGTATGAATATCTGCAATGTTATTCTCTGAAGTGAATAAAGTAACTGACATATATGACAGAATGCGGAGCCCTGATATTTCAAGATTTTGTTGTTTGCACAGCAACATTCCTTTACATTCCTTGGGAGTAAGAGTGAAAGTGCTGAAGAGTTTCCCACTCCATCTAACCATCTCTGCGAACGCTCACGTAGTGTGTCGTTACTCATCCATGTAAGCTCAGCACCTTGAGGTGGGTGATGAGTGGCAGAGCCCTGCAAGGATGCTCCTGGATCATGGTTTCGCTCATTTCCTCCTCTTTTTGTGCAGTCTTTGTCCCCCAACTGTGGGCACCCACTTGTCCCATAGTTCCTGTTGCAGCAGAGCTTCTGGTAGAAGTTGCATTTGTTTCCCATTGATTTCAGAGTTGTGCTTTGAAGACTAAATTGATGCTCTACTAATGCAGAGCATATTTTTGTGATCCCTGAGTATTACATACCTTACTGCTCCTTTAGTTTCATGCTCCTTTCAGTTTCCTGAATGGAAATTCTCAAGTGCTGAGAACTGATTGACAATACTGAAAAATGAAAGAAGGAAGCAGCCTCCTTGCTTAAACACATGCTAACTAAGCAATCTGATGGATACGAAATGCCAAACTCTGTGTGGTGCTCAGTAGCGCCGCTCCCAGGTGCTGCTCCACGTGTCACTTGTTCTGGGGATGCTTCTTTCCCACTCTGAGCACAGCTGTCCGTGAGCTGCTGTGAGCCGGAGCAGCGGGCTGCCTGGCCTGGAGCTGCGTGCTGACGTGTGCTGCAGATCATAACGCAGCCAAAAATAGTGCTGTCCTGCTCCTGTGTTACTTCTTGCACTGTGTTGGTACAAATACTTCTTTTGGCTCCCAGTGAGCAGGATCAGAGTAGTAATCTGCATGAGAAATAATCATACAGAACGAGGTCATTCTTTGTAGGTGCTTTGGTGGGAACTACTTTTATTTTTGAACAAATGTGGTCAGAGGACAAGATTAGGATAAGTAAAATGTAGTCTTGCTGCTTTTGTATTTTAATGTATATGCAAATATATACTTTAAAAGATGACTTTGCAATTGCAGCTGTCTTAAAATTGTGTAATTAAGTGTTGTAGATATAAGAGGAAGCATGTGAACAGGTTTGGCTGATGAGCAGGGCTGGGAAGGAGCAGAGGAATGAGTGTGTGGGTGGGGGAGCAACATTTCAAGACACAGTTTAATGTGAATTATCATGCGTGAGGAAGATGTTGTCACACTGTAACACTGGAAAGCTGACCTGAGGGAGGAGAATGGCAGGAGAGTAGAGGAACTTGTACGGTGCATTGAATCATTATTACAACCCCTATAGATAAGGTTTCCGGATCAGTTTGCGCTGAACTAAGGCTTTGCTCCTGGGAAGGGCAGTCTGCCCTCCCTACAGCTCCAGATCCAGTACTTCCTTGTTCCTACTGCTCACAGTGGCTCTGAAGTTGCAGTGTAACCTGGTTGAGCTCACTGATCTGAGTGAAAGTGAGTATACCTAGTCTGGCAGTTGTTTCAGTGACTTCTTATGCAGCCAACATAATGCTTGCATTGGCAGAGTAGGGGAAAGTGGGACAGTGTCTTTTGATAGCAACTTAACCTAAATGTGCTTAAGCAGACGTGTAGGCTCTTTTTTACTTCATCATATGTATCTATTCTCTATCAAAACAAACACAAAGCAACCAACCTTCCCCTTTATTATGCTGCATGCAATCAGATTGCAGTTGGTAACAGAGAATCTCCTGCGTAGTTTTTCTTTAAACAGGATAGAAGGATGGGTTTGCAGTAAAGAATGTTAAACCTCAAATCTTTTCTATGCAGCAGTGTACTAGTTTCATCTTCCTTGTAAATACTTTTTACCCTGTAGGTTTTACAAATAAAGCCATTACTATATGCAGTGTTCTAAGGTAGTGCTCACAAAATCATAGAACCACAGAACATCCCAAGTTGGAAGGGACCCACAAGGATTATAGAGTCCAATTCCTGGCTCTGCATAGGACCACCCAAAATGCAAACTGTGTCTAAAAGTGTTGTGAGCAGCTGTAAAAATTCTGTAAGAAGAAATACACAAGGAAAAAAATTATGTATGTAGATCAATAATGAATACTATACTGTATTGGTCATTGGTCATGACACTGGTGACTGCTTTGTCAGAAAATTCATGCTGTTAAGTTTGTGTTCTGATACACTTCATTATTTAAATATGTGTATGTTAAGCCATGATTCCAGACTCTCTGAATAAAAATAATAATCGTAAAAAAACACCACTCAAAAAGCATATTTGAATGGCAAGGTCAAATTAAAGCTGTAAAAGAATATAAATGGGTGTTTCTTGTACCAAGTCACTAACAACCGTTGGAGCCTAGATGATGATCTTTGTATTGGGAGGATAAGTTGGACCAGAAGGTGGCAGCTCCAGAGAAAACGTGAGTTGTGGTGGGCTTTGTAAGTTACCATGCCCCAACAATTGAGCTGGGGAAGCAGCACACACCTTCATTTCTGCCCACGCTTAGACTTTCTCCTTCCTGTTTTCACTGAGCAGGTGTTTAGCTTCTGTGAAAGATGAACACCCTTCATCCACTTCATGCTTTGCAGAAAATTTACTCTAAAAGCTTCACCAAAGTTTTTTCTAGAAAATTTCAAATTGAGTTTGCATGAGATTATCCAACTGAAAAAGGCCTAAGATCATTATCAGCTTCCTGCTAATCTGCCAGTCCTAGAGTGGCTTGGCTGGGGAGGGACCTTAGAGAACATCTACTTCCAACTCCCCTACTGTAGCCCAGCTAATGACAAAGCTTTTCTGTCACAAAACAAACAAAAATAGTAGTTAGCATAGCAGTGGCACAAATTTGGTGTTTTAATAAGGCTTTTAAATGTTTGTCAGTAATCTTTGAAGCTATTCAATTAGCTGTATAATCTGTAACAGCTGAATAAACTGCAGATGATTATAGTCTGAAGCTAATTTTGTAGTTACTCTTAGATTTGCTGATTTCTTAATCTTTTGAATACAATTACAGTGAAAGCAATCTGTACTCTGTTTTAATGTATGGAAAAGGAAAGCAGGTTTTCAGGACCATGTTGATGTTATGATCCTGAAAACAGAATAGTGTGGTTCAGCTTCCTCATTAATACTTTATGTGGATTGGTGAATTAGGAATTGCTATGTAATTGGCATGCAACATTAATTCACTGAGATGACTTTTTATGGTACAGTACATGCTAGTTTCAGTGAGTGCTGTTCTGAATGATAGCCACTTAGCCAAGTTGTCAAAATTTTGGCAGCAGCTCTAGAAAATTCTGATAAATAGAACAGCAGTAGCAGGAAAGCCTGCAACGTGAAGAGCAGAGTTTTGTGCACTGCAAGAAGCTGCCTCTCTGCTTGTGGGGAAGGAGCCTGCAGCCACTGAACTTCTTACTTAACAGAGTTCTCCATTTGGGGCGTATTAATATCTTGCTAATTTCTAAGGTGTCATGTCCATGAATCTGTGCTTCCATCCTGCTTCCTATTAACTTGGTGCAGTCTGGATCAAAGAGAAGTATGTGGTCTCTAAATTCCTAGGCAGATGAAACTGAACATTAATTACTCTCACTCAAATGGCTTACTGGGAGAAGTAATATACATGTCTATTATATGCAGAAATTGTTTGCTTTATTGGTCCTGTTGGTTTTTTTTCAGTTTTGTAAAAGTATACAGATGAGCTGTCTGGTAAGTTTTGCATAAAAGTAAGGTATGGTTGTAACCCTTGGTTGTTCAATAATTGAGCTTTAGAAGAAAATCTCAATGGCCTTTAACAGCAAACTAAGTAGGAAAAAAATTGAAAGCAGAACTGGTAAGGTTTGTGCACTTGCCAATATTGGGATGAGTGAATTTTTTAATATCATACATGATACTACATCTGTCAATTTTTAAATTTTCTCTCATAGATGGGTGTTAAAGAAATAATAATAGTATTTCTGAGGCGTACTCACTCCGTGGTGCATCTGTTTATGCGAATGTGCTTTAAATATTGTTTTGTTGAAAGCTGGCAATTCCTTATTTTATTGCAGAAGACAAGGACATAAAATACAATCTGAGTTGGTTAGGGTTATTCCCTGCTTAGTGACCAGAACTTTGGAAATAAGCCAACTATATTTAAAGAGCAGCTTGTCTGGGTGTTGTGCTTTACCACGGCATTCCTGAAGATGTAGTTGCAGTTGTGAGAATTTCTTCACCTTGTTTTTCTTCTTAGTCCTCTGTTGCCCCACCTTTTATAGGTCACTCTCAGTAGTCACGTTACCTCTTTCTTCCCATCATAAGGAATTTTCATGTTATTTATGTTGTGCTTTTCAGGTGACCCACAGTAGGTACTCCAGAGCTTTGTGGCTTGTTGGAGCACTGAGTCTTTCAGTAGA